TGTCGAGACAACGCCGGTCTCTGCGATTCTTTTGGTCCTGGTAGAGATCACGCTGAGATGTTTCCATGTTTTACACAATCCTTTTATTACCCATTATTCTTACAGATGCATCTGGAGATTAGCACACTGCATTCCTATGCAGTCCTATGCTAAAGGCTGATCTAAAGAACTCCACACAACAGTTACAGTTATAACCTCTGGTCTCCTCCCCCCTACAGTAAACACCCCCACAATGGAAATACACTAGTACAGTGGCCAAGGGTGCTGACACCCTGACCCCCATCTCCTTTTATGGTAGTGCCCATTTGCCCTTTGTCTGCCCCTCACCCTCAGTTCTTTGTTTCATGCCCTGGGGGTGGGGGTTGATTGTCCTTGCACCTCAGTTCTTTGTTCCCATCCCAGGCCTATTTTCTATTTTGTATTCTTACACTCATTAACCGCAATATTATAATGTTGCAAGCAATCACAAACTATATTCTCTTTAACTCTGATCTATATCAAGGAGTCTATTCTCAACACTACCAACACATTTCAAGAGATACAACTTTTTCTTTGAAGGTAAATGTGCTCAACTTCAGGTTGGCGTCCCACTTCTCACAGTATCACTATTGCTTGATGGGTAGTTTGCAAAAGTTGCATAGAGATTGGCATTTTATATAGTGCAATAACCAATACCACTTTCGACCAGTGTCACGCTAGCAATTGCCAGCAGCCTGTAGAAACTACTTGACAGCCATTCACAGAATACATATTTTTACCTAGGGGGTAATCAGGGGTCGCTGACCAGTCACTGACCTGCATTAATGTGGCTCTAGCAACCAGTTTCAGAGAGACTTCTAGCACGCTCCTGCGTAAACATTTGTGACTGGTCAGGGAATACATTTCTCTTGTGACCGGTGTTTGCCAGATGATCACTGATCGGTCTTTAGGGCTGTGTGACTAAACTCAATCAGGAAAATGTGTACAATGAATCACGTGAAAAGTAGATGGTAGTGGCAAATGGACTGGTTCTTATATAGTGCTTTTCTACTCTACCTGAGCACTCAAAGCACTTTATACAACTTGCCTCATTCACCCATTCATACAAGCAGAAAAAGCAGAAAAGAGTCTGTGGGCTGCTGGTATTCACTTCTATACAATCTGACTTTCAGAGTAGTCAACCCCTGATGGCCATCAGAAGGCACACACATTTAAACACGTGACTTTCTTTTTTGGACTAAGAAACTAGGCCTGTTGGTGGTCTATAAATAAAACATTTGTCAGTAACTGATAAGATTAAAATCTTATCTTAAAAATGTGTGTATATATATATATATATATATGTGTGTGTGTGTGTGTGTGTGTGTATGTATGTGTGTGTATATATATGTCTCACAAAACTATTTTAAATTACTATATATATATATATATTCCGTATTCCTAGACAGGCATCTGAATTCAGAAGATTTGACACACTAATTTCTTTTCCTCAAACAGCTGAGAGTCTTCAAACTAGCCAAGTCTTGGCCTACTTTGAACATGCTCATCAAGATCATCGGTAACTCTGTGGGTGCTCTGGGAAATTTGACTCTGGTGCTGGCCATCATCGTGTTCATCTTCGCTGTGGTGGGCATGCAGCTGTTTGGCAAAAACTACAAGGAGTGCGTGTGTAAGATTTCAGAGGACTGCATGTTGCCCCGCTGGCACATGCACGATTTCTTCCACTCCTTCCTTATCGTGTTCCGGGTGCTGTGCGGAGAGTGGATTGAGACCATGTGGGACTGCATGGAGGTGGCAGGACAGACTATGTGTCTTATTGTCTTCATGATGGTCATGGTCATTGGAAACCTGGTGGTATGGGCTCAATATTTTCTTTTAAGTTTTTCACCTTTGGACAGCCATTAAGCTACGTACACACTGGAAGCGATCTGCTCGTGGCACATGTTGTTGAATCTAATGAAACTGGTTGCTTGTGGACATTCTATGCTCCAGTTGCGTAGGTGAGCTAACATATTTACTACCAGGTCATATATCAGTTAGCTGTATTCTTCATTCTAATTGGTCGTTGCTCCAGGTGGTCGCTTGTAACTTGAGCAAGTTTCTTTTTAGGAAGTTTATCTCTAAACATCATTCGCTTTTTATGGTATCTAGTGGCCAGGTTGCTGCAAATCATTTCCGGGGTGTACGTAGCTTTAGAGTTTTTATCAAATTTCGACTTCATAGGGCAAAGAGTTAAATCTGCCATTTCCTGCCATGACTCTTTCCTAGGTTCTAAATCTCTTCCTGGCTCTCCTACTGAGTTCATTCAGTGCCGACAACCTGGCGGCAACCGATGAGGACAGCGAGATGAACAACCTGCAAATTGCTGTGGGCAGGATCCAGCGGGGCATCGCATTTGTCAAAAACTCAGTGCGGCAGTTCCTCCAGAGCTTGTGCTTTGGCAGGGGCGGAAAGGGCTCTGGTCTAGCTGAGGAAAGCAAACCCCTGGATGAACTGCACAGCAATGGCAAGGGCAACTGCATTTCCAATCACACAACAGTGGAAATCACCAAAGACCCCAGTGGGGTGTACATGAGGGAGGGCAACGGACGACCAGGAGGGCTGGTGGTTGGGGTCAGTGTAGGAGGGGACAGTACGGGAAAATACCCAGTTGAGGACTGTGACTACATGTCATTTATTCATAACCCCAGCCTGACAGTCACGGTGCCTATTGCTGTGGGCGAGTCAGACTTTGAGAACCTAAACACAGAAGATTTCAGTAGCGACTCATCTGACGTGGAGGGCAGCAAAGAGGTAAGATGAAAAATGAAGTGACTGCAGTATGTCAGATTAACAGAAATCTCTTGAATGGCACAGCTTTTGTATTTGATTAGCTCCTTTATGTGTAAACTTAACACCCAATAGAAGTCAATCACTATATGAATAAGTCAAGAGATTGCCTTTTGAGAAATTTTCCAGAGACAGTCAAGCAGTTTTAAAATAACACACCTGCTGACTCATTTGTACATGCATCATGCCGTGTTGCTGATGAAATCTGCTCGAGATTTTAGTCAGACCTGCAGCTCTTGGCAGTAGAATAAGATACAACGTTACAAATAATGACTCAAATTTGCATTTTGACCAATGAAACAGTTTAATGTTGACCATATACATAAGGCTATGTGTCTCTGTAGTATTTTATGTAGACTTGCTTAATTTCTTGTTTTCTTTAGGGGACATGTGTGCCTGTGTGGAGAAAGACTTAATGAAGCAGCCGTATTATTAGAAATGTAGAGATGTTGCTCTATCAGCGTGCGTCCGGACATTAATAAAATGATTAAACAAAACGAGTTACCTCACCCTTAAGACATGTTTTTCTTCTCTAATTCATTGCCTATTCTAGTAGAGCAGCAGCTACATTTGCTCTTGAGCTTTGCCAGGCTGACAGAGCACTGAGACTGTGCTCCCTGGTGATGTCAACCTGTTACTGTGGGTGTGGTGCCAATTATCTTTGATTCAAAACAACCCAGAAGACTATTTATGTCTATGTCCACTATATTATGTCGACGGCACCTCGTCATCCATATATGAATCAGGCAATGGTGATCTTTAAACCCTGTATCGAGTAGTTGGTGAGCCATTATATTCATGCAGCAAAAGATGCTGTGTTGTCATAATATTTAATGTCATAAACTCAAATTATAGCAAACATCAATTTAAACATTAGGAGCTACACAGGTGAGGGGTTGGTGGATGTTCTTATTGTGTATGTGTTGTGTGAGACGTGTCAACCCACTGTTTTTGCATTGCTGTTAGGAAATGTGTATTTGGGGACAGCTAAAGTCATATTCTCTGAGGATAAGTGGTCCCCCTGTTGTGTGTTGTGGGCTGACCAGTGAAAACACATTTGAGGTTGTATGTTAGCTTTTGGTGTGTATGACTTACTTTGTTTAACCCCCCGTTTGTTATTGCAGCGGTGTCACAGGCGCTCTCAAGGTTTTCAGTGAGAGGAGAATTGTAAGACCTCTTTATTGTACCATAGCACTAACCATGAGGACTGCCTATGCCATTTACAGACAAACAACACACTTACTTTTTTGTCATACCTTCAATGGATTGCCCATTTTCGTTCTTTGCCTGGTCTGCCCTCCGTTCCCCTACCCCACCCTACCCCTCCTTCTTTGCTTTATCCCCTCCCTTTCCCAAACAGCAGGGCACTCACTGCTGTAACCTCTGAGTCCTTCTGTAACCCCCCCTACCCCACCTGCCCCTTTCATAATTTATCTCTGAGCATCAGGCTGTATTGCAGTTCCAAACCATTAAGAATGAGCAACACCACCTCTTTTTCCATTGATAGATAAACTCATCTAACATGACGTTTGCTTTTGATTTCATTGCTTGATTTTTGACTTGGTTTTGGGACTTGATTGGCATCAAACACTCCGAGCTTGAGAATGAAGGAAGAGAGGAAGAGGAGAATGAAGAGGAGTAAGGGGGAAAAAGATGGAATGGGGGAATGAATTTTGCTTTAGCTGGACAAAATTCATTTGTCTGGTTCATAGCCCATGCATACATACATGAAAAACTTGTTTTTTGTGTCTTACTTGAGTAATAGTGGAATGATGAAAGATTCTTAACAGAATTCTTTCCGAGAAGAAAATAAAGAAATGCTGATGTGTAAATGATGACTTTTGCAGGGTGGTAAAACAGGTAACACATGGCTGGTTATACTGAATCAGAGTTATGTAAATGAGGGCAAATGCTTTATATATGAAATTGGCCCATACATGCTTAAGAAGCCACCTCTGTTGTTGGCCCTTCTGTCCCTGTGTTATCAACTTTTGTTACACTGCAAATATTTCATCACCTGATGATTAAGTCTACCAGTTATTATCCCGATAAAAATATGTTAGGTTAAGACTAAAAGCCTTGTATGTAGTTGACATCCAGAAGAGGTAACATGGGTTTCTTATTAAAGGTGAGAAATAGAGCGGGGGGAAACCACCCTTCCAGAAAACACTTGCAAGCAGCATGCTTCCATCATTCCCATGCCGTATTAGCTGGGTCCCACGGCAATCAGGGCTGCTGCACTGTCAGACCGACATGAGGAAACAACACCATCTCTGCCCAAAGAAAACAGACAGGAAGCCTTGCGTCACCCAAAAAGTCTCACTATATGCAGATGATTTTGTAATGGACATCACTGCATGTGAGGGTTTTAGAAAAGCGTTAGCAGTGTGCATAATTCACGGTAAGGAGGGCAGAGAGAAGGTTGAGGTGGAGGACAAAAATCTTAGTCCTGGATGTTTCTGGGTATGTGTGGATGCTAATTCCGGATGTTTTACAAATGGGAACCCAAAAAATACCTGCCAGACCACATGCTGTCGTATAAACAGTGCACAGTACTGGTTTTTGCTGGTAAGCTAATGTGGTTCTCCGTCTACTTCAACACAAACAGAAGGAGCTTGTACACTGCTTTCAAGGAATGGGAATAAATGGTGTTTTCATGTCACTGAGGAAAATTTTCAACAGCAGTTCTGGGGGTGGATTCTAGGATTGAGGGTGGGAAAAGAATTTCAGATCATAATTTTTAGAAAAGAAATGGGATAAATATCTTTAACAAATTGATTTTGAGTCAGTTTCAGTGGACATGAAAACACTGGAGCACACGTTCTGCTTGGTACTATTTCAGGCTTGGATTGATAATGCACTGGAATACTGCATGAACTATTCCTCAAACTGAGGTCACATCAAACGTACCCACAGTGCATTTCCATAACGCCAACTTCCCCATGCCACATAATCTGATTTGAGCCATCAGATAAATCTAATTCCTAAGCCTGTAGGTACATTTGATCGATGCTGCATGTGATGATGATGATGATACAATGACTTTAAAGAGCCCAACTCTGTGAGCTATTACAGTGCCTAGTCTTCACACTATGGTATACAATCGTGGCACTGGGGTACATGTGAGAATCACAATGATAACCAGCTCAGAAGGTTGGCTCCTATAACCAAGGGACTTCAGTGTGATGCATTGTAGTGTGACTTTGTCCTCTCGTGTCCTTCCTCGTCCATGCAGAAGCTCGACGCAGAGCCCCAGCCACTGAGCTCATCGGAGGGGAGCACAGTCGATATCCGCCCCCCTGGAGATGGGGTTGATTCAGTGGAGCTGGAACCTGAGGAGTCACTGGACCCAGAAGCCTGCTTTACAGAGGGTAAGTGGGATGCAAGGGTGATAGGCAGGGATGATGATGGAAAGTGGGAAGGTGGACCAGAGCGAGGAAGATGGGGAGACAAAACACTTCCAGAGCACATTTCAAGACTTGGAGTAAATCGCATTAACTGCTTGTGCTTAGCACAGGTCTGTCTGACTAACAACTGAGTGACAGTGAATTCAAATGCTCAGCGGAACAGATAAAAATGTGGTCTGTGGGGTTCTGTTGTTTTGTAATGTAACCTGACATTTTATCTGACATACCTTTAGTACCATTAATGCTACTTTCAGCAGCTCTGCTGTTCATAAAGGGGTCACTACAGCGGGTAGCTCTGCATATTTAATTTGGGAGATTTTTTATGTCGCATGGCCTTCCTGACGCAGCCCCAGGGGATTTGTGTCTCCTCCTGGGATCGAGGCAGAGATATTTTGCTTGTTAGGTGTGTAAACCACTACTGGAGCCACCTCCAGTACAATCGTGAATATGCATATAACAGATGTAAGCAATATATTATGATTTGCATTATGAGTGTGCGTAAATCATAGCAGCAGATGAAAGCATAAGACCCCGAATTAATTAACAACAAAGAACAACATATTTTAACGCTATTCTATTTTACTAATATGTCAAATAGAATATTAAGACCCTTTCAGTGAGCAATCATATTTTAACTTTTAGTGGATTTTCAAACAACTGCATGGAAAGATTTTATGAAATGTTGGTGAATGTATATGTTTGAAATAAAAATGAACTGAACTGAATTCTGTATGCTGCCTGAAAGTTTTGTGGGCTCCTTTGATTTTGGTTTTTCAATTTTTTTAAGCTTTTGCATTTTCATTAGAAAGCATAGAAGAGAGACAGGAAAGCAGAGAGTGTGTGGGAGAAGACGTACAGCAAAGGGCCTTGGGTCAGATCCAACCCTGGGCCACTGCATTCAGCCTTGTGGCATCTGGTTGCCTACTCAGGTTGTGAGCTAAACAGGCATGCTTAACATTTGACTTTGATTTTAATCACTCCACTTTAATAGTTTGCAGTGAAGCATGGCTCACAGATCTAGAGCAGTAAGCTTGGTTGGTTTATCAGTTTTTGCATTAAAAAAATGATTGAAATCAATAATTAACGACATTAGGACATTTCTGGATGTTTGGATATTTATTCCAGTCACTTTAAGGTTATTTACAAAATAAAACCCCTCAAACAAAAAAAGCTGACTGATTTCTTGTGGGTAATTTTGTTAACACATTCAGCTGGTCCCAACTACTAAACAGCATCTTCTAAGTTCGCTGTTGCCATCTGCATACATAAAATTCCCATTCACTACTTAAATTCCTCCACAAATAGTGATGTAGTTGCTACAGGATAGCAATTGCTGTTAAACTGTGAGGTGACATAAGTGCAACCTTGCTTTCATATAAGTATACAGTCGTGGCCAAAAGTTTTGAGAATGACACAAATATTAGTTTTCACAAAGTTTTCTGCGAAACTGCTTTTAGATCTTTGTCTCAGTTGTTTCTGTGATGTACTGAAATATAATTACAAGACCTTCATACGTTTCAAAGGCTTTTATCGACAATTACATGACATTTATGCAAAGAGTCAGTACTTGCAGTGTTGGCCCTTCTTTTTCAGGACCTCTGCAATTCGACTGGGCATGCTCTCAATCAACTTCTGGGCCAAATCCTGACTGATAGCAACCCATTCTTTCA